AGACAGAGTCATGTGATCACAGACAGAGTCATGTGATCAGAGACAGAGTCAGGTGATCAGCGACAGAGTCATGTGATCAGCGACAGAGTCATGTGATCACAGACAGAGTCATGTGATCAGAGACAGAGTCAGGTGATCAGAGACAGAGTATCAGAGAAATGAATCGTTCCTGCAGGAACAGATGAAACTCCACAAGCTTCAGGGTCACATGATCACCTTGTCACAACTTCTGGAAGTTACAGCTCATTTAAAGGAAACATTTTGTTGTTTGTTACATTTATGCTCAACAGATCTTAAGCTTCATTTTATTTAGTTATTTTGGGAAACTTCACCTGCTCTTTAGTTTTGGTGGTGGATTTATTGATCTATATTTTGTGCAGACTTTTTCATCTAAATTCCGGAAGGATCATTTTTATTTTTTATACTTGGAGACTGAATACTTTACTAAATAAAGTAATTTCAGTAAAATTATTCCTTTTTTTTAGTTTTTTTTTATGAGACTGCAAAACAACATGTTAAGTTAATTTTGTCAAAGGAATAACTATGATTTCTGTTTTTTTTATGTCAGAAATTTATCGTTATCGTTAGAATGCTCTAAAATATCATATTATATTTGAGCCATATCGCCCACCCCTAATTGGATGCTAAGGATTATTGTGCTGCACTTTTCTTAGACCTGTCTAAAGATTTTGACACTGTGGATCAGAACATCTTGTGTCATAAACTCTCAGAAATTGGTTTCTCAGATCACACCATTGGTTGGTTCTCTAACTATCTTTCAGACCGGAGGCAATGTGTTCAACATAATGGTACTTCCTCCAGTTATTTAACAGTCAACAATGGTGTACCACAAGGCTCAGTCTTAGGACCCACCCTCTTTACAATCTACATACATAATGTAGCTAAAAACATCCCTGATGCATCCATACATTTCTATGCTGATGACAGTTGTTTATTGTCGAGTTAAAACTGTTGCTAAGGCTTTCCAGCTTTTGAAATCTGCATTCAACAACATCCAGACTGATTTGTTTCACCTCAAACTTGTCCTAAACACCGACAAAACCAAAGGGATGCTTTTTCAAACAGGAAGTTGGTCCCAGCAGTTCTTCCTCCGATTTTATCCTCAAATGGTGTCCCCATTGAGTTTGTTGATTCCTATAAATATTTGGGTATCTTGGTCGACTCTCATCTCTCTTTTAAGCTCCATGTGGAAAACTTGATAAAGAAACTGAAAGTTAAACTGGGTTTCTTTTTCAGAAACAGATCCTGTCTAACCCTGAATGTTAGGAAACACCTTGTATCTGTGACTTTCCTTCCCTTCATTGATTACGGTGACATTATTTACATGAACGCTCCTACAAGAACCCTGCAGATGTTGGATGCTGCAGATGTTGGATGCTGCAGATGTTGGATGCTGTCTATCATGGTGTACTAAGATTTATAACTGGCTGTGATTATCGTACCCACCACTGCACCCAGTATTCACTGGTTAACTGGTCACCATTAACTTCACACAGACTCTCTCACTGGTACATTTTCATCTTTAAATCTCTTCCTGGTCTGTTGCCTTCATACATCTCCTCCTACATGTCTCTGTGTGAGTGCAGCTACAGCGTGCGCTCTCAGGACATCATTACCTGCAGTGTTCCCTCAGTGAGGACTGAACTAGACAAGAGGACCTTTTCCTACTCCGCTCCTGTTTCCTGGAATATCTTGTAAAAAGATCTGAAGCTCTCGACCTTTGACCTCTCTAAGTGGCTTTAAGAATCTGTTGGACTCCTGGCAGGAACCATCCATCCATCCATCCATTTTCTTTACCCGTTTATTCCATTTTGGGTCACGGGGGTCGCTGGTGCCCATGTCCAGCAATCACTGTGCGAGGGGCGGGGTACACCCTGGACGGGTCTCCAGTCCATCACAGGGACACATAGAGACAAACGAGACAAACAACCATTCACTCTCTCACTCACACCTAGGGACAATTTAGAGTTACCAATCAGTCTAACATGCATGTTTTTGGTCTGTGGGAGGAAACCGGAGTACCTGGAGAAAACCCATGCATGCACGGAGAGAACATGCAAACTCCACACAGAGAGGCACCCGGACCGGGATTTGAACCAGGGACCTGCTTGCTGAGAGGCAGCAGCTCTACCAGTTGCGCCACCGTGCTGCCCTGGCAGGAACCAATGCAGACATGTTCCTGTTTTTAGTTTTTTACATTCGCCTTCATTCTCCATTCACAAATTCTTCCTTCTTCATTCACCTTTCTACATTCAGCTCACTAACCGAGAAAGGAGAAAAAGAGACTGTGTGATTAACTGAAGATTGACTTACATTGAGGAAAATAAGTATTTGAACACCCTGCGACTTTGCACGTTCTCCCACTTAGATATTATGGAGGGTCTGAAATTTTCATCTTAGCTGCATGTCCACTGTGAGA